ATGCCGCAGTCAAAAGGCCGATGTGGCGGCAGCTGGTCTGCCCCCGGTCCTCGAACACGTCCTGGTAGTCCTGGTACACGGCTGGGAGCGTGGGTGCTGCCTCCTCTGAGGCGCGGCCGCCAGCTGCCCGGATTGAGCATGGGAACATGGGTCTGGGAAGGGCACGGGCCGCGTGACCCAGTCCATCTGAACGGGGTGGGCTTCCAGCCAGTCCAACCCGAGCACCAGGGGGAAGCGGGCATAGAGGCAATGTCCAAAGTCCGCAACTCCCGGTGCTGCTGGAGACACAGGACCAAGGGCTGGGTCTCCTGAGTAACGGCACCTGAACGCAGAAGTCGTCCGTCAATCGCTTCCACCTGGACCGGTACTGGCTTGTTCCAAGTGGCACCTGATGATGGGCGGCAAAAGCAGCGTCCATATAGGAGCGGGTTGCCCCTGAATCTACCAAAGCATGGGTGAGGATCCAGGGCCCACCTGGAGGGTATAAACGTACTGAAACCATAAGATGTTGCAAGTCCATTGGTGCGGGCCCATTCTGTACGGTTTGGGACCCCGGCAGCTAGGGCCATCAGCTACTGGGGTTGGCGGCTTCCTGCGGCTGGCGTTCTCAGGGCAGGACCGAGCGAAGTGTCCACTTCCGCCACAGTAAAGACAGAGATTTCCTCCCGACGCCGCGCCTTCTCTGCGGGGAAAGGCGTGGCCGCACTGCCCCGAGCTGCATAGGCTCCTCCGTTAAATCAGCTGTGACCGTGGGGCTGCCGGAAAACTGGTGCCGTGAACTGGAAGTGTCGGCGACCCCGGGCCTGACGCCGATCCTCCAACCGGTCGTCTATTTGTAGACTCCGTTGAATGAGAGTGTCCAGCGTGGTGGGGCGTTCCATTGTGGCCAACTGGTCCAGTACCTCGTCCGAAAGCCCTTCGAGATACTGGTCCCGCAGTGCCGAGTCATTCCAGGTCAAGTCCTGTGCCAACAGCCGAAACTCCGTGGTATATGTGGCCACCGTGGACTTGCCCTGTTTCAAACGCCGAATCGCCCGGTTGGCTTGACTCTCTTCTGGGGGCTGCCGAACGCGGCCTCCAAACGATTGCAAAACCCCGTATAGTCTGCCAGCAAGGGGGAGTCTTGCCTGAGTAACGGCAACGCCCACTTGGCCGCCTGGTCCTTTAACAAACTAATCAAAAAGTGCACCTTGGTGCGGTCGTCAGGAAAGTTCCGGGCTCGCCCCTGAATATACAGCTTGGCCTGGGCCAGGAACATGGGAAAGCTGGCCGGGGCTCCATCAAATTTCTCAGGCAAAGCCACTGGGTACTCTGCCCGGAGCCGGGCGCCGGCCCCCGGAGCCGGTAGGGCTTCCAAGCGTTGCTGAAGTGCCACAACCGCGGCGCTGAGCTGCTGCACGGTGTGATTCAAGGCCTGGTTCTCCTGGGCCAAAGCCACCAGTGCAGCCGCCTGTTCAGCCATGGCCTCTGGCTCTTCCCGAACGCACCCCTACGAAGGGGAAGTGCGGGTGTGGCGGGAGCAAACTGTGCTGGTCCCGGGGTAAGGTACCTTGGGTGTAGCAGAGTCCACACGAAGAGGGGCAAGGTCCGAGGCAGAGAGCCGGGCGGGGAACAGGAATGCTGGAACAGGAGGCTGTGCAGGAAACAGGAACACCGGATGGTCGGGAACAGGAGGCCGTGCAGGGAACAGGAGTACCGGATTGTCTGGAACAGGAAGCCGAGCAGGGAACAGGAGCACAGGAAGGTCCGGGCCAACAACGACGTTGCTCCCGCAACCTGGGGCCGGGCTGACTGGGCTTTTATCCTCTTCTAAGGCCAGGGGCGGTCCCGGTCCCCAGGAGCCCCGCCTCCTCTGGCCTTAAGGCGAGCACTCCTCCTGGGGGCAACCAGTTCCCTTCGCCTCTCTGCCCTAAGCCTCTGCAGATCAGGAGAGGCCGAAGGGTTACTGGGCCCTGGAGGAGGCTCACCTGTGGCCACTGAGTCATCAAGCCCCTCTGGGGCCAGAAGGGCTTCACCTGGGGCCAGCTCCTGATGCACTGCCACAGGTGCAGGCTCTTCAGCATCTAGGCCTTGCCCCAGTTCAGCCGGCCCTGGAGGCGGGGACTCCTGTGCAGGCTGGGATTCCTCTGTTTCATCCTCCGAATCGGAATCCCAGGCCATCACAGTAGATTAGCCAAAATGCTGAGTTGCTGAGGTCTGTTACGCATGATGCACAAACTCTGCGGATCCCTAAGTGTGCTGGTGTCTGTTGGCATCGGTCGCTGTGATGTTCGGGCAGAAGAAAGCTTATGAAGCTCCCGAACGATCGACCAGGAGGGAGGGAACATGCCAGTCGGGCCTGTGTCTCTGCCAGGGTCCTACTCCTAGGGTCCTAGGCTGAGCTCCTGACACTTTCTGACACCCCCTGCCCCACCCATGTGTTCTTTTTAGCACCCCCTCCTCTCGATCTGCACTTTTTCTCCCACCCCACATGTGATCTGCATGCTCTTTCTCCTGCCTTCCAGTCCAAAGACCCTCGTGCTCTTTCTGCCACCCCCTGCCCCATCCGTGAGCTGTTTTTAAACACCCCCTTCCTCCCCCATCCTAACGCTCTCCCCCCTGCACAGTCTTTTCAATGCAGCCACCCCCTCTCCACCACAACCTTACCTTTGCCGGCTCTTTCTCCTCCGCCGCCGCAGCTACGGTCCTGGCCTTCTTGCAGCCAACTCTGCCTCGTTGCAGCCGCCAAAAGTGGGGCACTTGCATCTGGATGCGCTGGCCCCACTTCTGTGAATTTGGAGGCAGACAGAGGTTGACCACAACAGCAGTGGAGCCTACAGCAGAGGCTGCCTGTCCTCACTGCCCTGGAGGAGGTGGCGGCAAGGCGGTGAAATTAGGCCATCACAAACTTCAAACAGAATCCGTGATGTCACGCTTAATTCAGGGCAGTTGAGTGGTGTGGAAGCTCCATCTTTCTCTTTGCACACCTATTCTGTGAAAAGTACATAGGAGCATTGCCCTACCTTCACTCCAGCACTGGGGTGGAGGGAATGTTGCCTTTTAAAGAGCAGAGGGCTTCTCCCCAGTCTTAACCCAGTTTACCTGAAGGAGCGTCTCCACCTCCATCATTCTGCCCGGACACTGAGGTCCAGCGCCGAGGGCCTTCTGGCGGTTCCCTCCCTGCGAGAAGCGAAGTTACTGGGAACCAGGCAGAGGACCTTCTCGGTAGTGGCGCCCGCCCTGTGGAATGCCTTCCCATCAGATGTCAAAGAGATAAACAACTACCTGACATTTAGAAGACATCTGAAGGCAGCCTTGTTTAGGGAAGTTTTTAATGACTGATGTTTTAATATATTTTTAATCTTTGTTGGAAGCCGCCCAGAGTGGCTGGGGAGACCCAGCCAGATGGGCGGGGTATAAATAAATAATAATAATAATAATATTTTTAAAAAAACACTGTGATGTTACTGCTGAGACAGGAAAAGAGCAGAGGGATTTTATCTCCCAATCTTTAGAGAGCATCTCTAAGAATCGGGCAGAGCATTTTCGTTCCCAATCAGATCCAGGGACCAGGGACCGTTCCCAGCCACATCTTGCCAGGCCTGATCCTGCTTATTTGGTTATTCAAGAAAGAAAGCTTTCGGCTGAATGCTTTTTTACATGCTGCATTAATGCTCTGTTCCCTTTTAAACTTCTTGACTGCCGTTTTATGAATTGCTGTTCTTCTTGATGCTTGGTGCAATTTTTTTGGCTTGTCATGTTAAATGCTGTTTTACCGTGATGAGCAGACACAGAGGGAGGGGGACTGAAAATGAGCCCTTTCTTTAAAAAAAAATGGAGGCAGGGTATATAAGAGTTTTTTAAAATAAATAAATGAATGTGTCAAGGGAATTCTTGGTCATAAGGTCAGGGCTAAAAGCAAAACCTCCTCCATATTCTGTATTGCCATTTTTTTCTTTTCTTTTTTCTCCCCCCCCCCCAACTCCCCAAATGCAAATACTTAACTGTTAAGTTAAGTCATTACTCTCCTGCTGTTCTGGTCTGATTAATTCCCCCAATATTAGCTGGCTATTCATTTTATCCCTCCATATCACAAGTCCAGCTGAAGGAGATAAGTGGCTGATAAAAGATCTTTGAGAACAGTTACAAATGATTCACTTTCAAAAGAATAATAAAGCAGCTGTGTGGAAGCTTGAGTAAAGCGCCCATACATCGCACGTAACTAATCTCATTTTAAAACTTCAGCAAATTAGTCAATAATCCTCACTGTCACCCTGCTGTTCCCCCAAACTTTGGCGCAGAAACCTAATGCTGAAATGCAAATATTTAATTAGTTTTTAATGGTGAGGTTTATTTTTACTAAATCTGGTCATCTGTCTCAATTATTTTCTCCATTTTTTATAGTTAACCACTAATTGTCATTCCCAGGAGCTTGCTCCCCCCCCCCCCCCAATTCTTGTTTTGCATTTCTTTTTTCAAAAGTAGCTTTGGTGTAAAGCAGTTTTGCTCTTCTGTGTAAAAAGGACCCATGCTAATAGGAGATAAATGCCCATGCATGCTGCCTCTATCATGACACTAATCGAATATAAAAAGATTCAACCCTCATCTTCAAAGTTCCTCTGGCCCAGTTCTCCGAATCATCTCACCCTGTGCTAACATGGCCTCCTGCCTTACTGACATTTGGCGAAAACAAAACAATGGTTCATTTCACACCGCCTGTGAAATGGGATTTGGATGAGCATCCAGCAGGCAGCATTGAAGGATGAGGCTGATATATACCTACTGGGGACCCTGGGCAGCATTGATATCCACCCATCTGCCCAGTGCCATCATCCCAAGAGGAAGAATAAGAATCCACTGGGATCGTCCAATGTACGATTGCTCATAAAGTACAACCCCTAGGGGATATTGCGGAGAAGCATCAGCTGGGTTACCTTGCAATTGCAAGCAATATTCTTGCCCCTGTTAAGCTGAGCAAGAAAATAGGATAAAAAATTCCTTCCAGTAGCACCTTAGAGACCAACTACGTTTGTTATTGGTATGAGCTTTCATGTGCATGCACACTTCTTCAGACACACTTCTTCGTGTGCATGCACACGAAAGCTCATACCAATAACAAACTTAGTTGGTCTCTAAGGTGCTACTGGAAGGAATTCTTTTATTTTGTTTCGACTACAGCAGACCACCACGGCTACCTACCTGTAACAAGAAAACAGGAACCCATTTTGACTCCTGGATGGAGTACCAAAAATACCAAATGTTTGCCTTCCTCTAACTCCATCCCTGGTGCTGGAGGAGACTCTTGAGAGTCCCATGGACTGCAAGAAGATCAAACCTCTCCATTCTTAAGGAAATCAGCCCTGAGTGCTCACTGGAAGGACAGATTGTGAAGCTGAGGCTCCAATACTTTGGCCACCTCATGAGAAGAGAAGACTCCCTGGAAAAGACCCTGATGTTGGGAAAGAGGAGAAGGGGACGACAGAGGATGAGATGGTTGGACAGTGTTCTCGAAGCTACGAACATGAGTCTGACCAAACTGCAGGAGGCAGTGGAAGACAGGAGTGCCTGGCATGCTGTGGTCCATGGGGTCACGAAGAGTCGGACACAACTAAACGACTAAACAACAACAACTCCATCCCACTCAAACTAGCATTGTGAAAGTTCCTTCTTCTGGAGTATTGCAGTGTAAGATTCCTTTCGGAGTTTCACAATATAAACAGTGCAAGACAAACAGGGGTGCTATCACTTAGGCCATTTTAACAGATAACACCACCGTAATATCTTTTATGGCACCTCTTTAGAGGGTCTGGGACGGCAAATAATGCAGTCTGTTGACTCATGAACTGCAGTGCTGTGACTGCTATGTCAAAGGATTTTAGACTGGAAATTATTCAGAGTCAAGGATCTCTTCCCCTTTATGTCTTGCATAACGCTGATCATAGCAGCAACATCTAATAATACATCCCTCTGCAGACCGATATGGAGGTTAATGCCAAGCAATTCAACATCGTTTATACAAATCTCCTTTACCAGCGAGACTTAACTTAGCCAGTATCTCAGTTCCATCAGATTGCAACGTCAGCTCTAGAGGACAACAAAAATTACAATGCCGCCATCAACTCTGGAATGAGATTAAGGGACTCTGGAAACAGATGCCACACTGATTTCACACAGTCATCGGGCCAGAGGGGTTACTGTTAAATCTATTTTATGATATACTGAAAGGCTTTTTGCCAATGTCAACATCTCTGTTCTTCAAGTCCATCTATAATATGTGCAGTGCTCATTTCACTCCCCAAAACATTGACATAGCCAAAAACCAAGCATTGCTTACTCATCTCATATGATTAATTACTATTAACAATTATATCAGCCTATTAAAAAATTTTAGTTCACCATCTGCCTTTTAACTCAAACAATAAATTAGTCTGTTAAATTTAAATACATGTGTATAATAGCAATTTCTCATTGTATGTGCCTTTTAGATATATTAAAGGATGCTTAAGATTTATATGTAATTTAGCAAGCAAAAGTGACTTCTAATCATTAAAGGTAAAGGGAACCCTGACCATTAGGTCCAGTCGTGACCAACTCTGGGGTTGCGGCACTCATCTTGCTTTACTGGCCAAGGGAGCCGGCGTACAGCTTCCGGGTGATAGTTAATATTTACTTTTCAATTCCCTACTGGAGCAAGGCATCAGATAAAAGCAGCAATGACTACAGCAAATAAGCAAGTCCTATCAATTAGGTTTCAGGTTTCACTTTCCTGCTGTGAGAGATCTGGGTTTCCAGGATGAGTCATCAATTCGCCGAAGGACTGAAATGGAAGCACCCAACCTTTACTGCCGCATTTGCCAAAGTGAAACCTCCCATGCAAACTGCAAACTTTTCTTTACAAAATGTTTTCAAATACAATGCATACAAACATTACATTTTATGCATATTAACTTATGTCTTTAACAGGATAGAAAGGAAAGCATAAGACACAACAGAGTTCCCTCTCTTGTGCCATCATCATTCATCCTAGATACCTTCCAATTGTTAGGAGCTGGATGCCTGTTGCACAGAGCCTCCTCTAACTCATACATTTTATGCTGCAGAAATTTAGTAGCTCGTGGAGCTTTACCTTTTAATATATACAATATACCAATTTTTTGCACATAATAAATCAGGTTTTTTAAAAAAAAAAACAAAAAAACAGCAATCCAGCAATGCACAAGCAGTTCTGACATAAGCAGGGACCGGACACAAGATGCAGCCCTGTGCAGGAAAAGCTTGATGGGCCCAAAACCATGTCCGTGTCCAGTGAAAATGGATTCCACCTAGTAACATTAATAATAATAATAATAATAATGGCATCAATCACATATGTATGGATCACAATGAACAGGGAACATTTCACAAGCTAATACTGAGCAGCATATTTTTCTCCTGGCCAATTACTGACGGAAAAGCATCTGAAGGGAAGTAGTTTTTCTTTCCCATTAAATTCTGTCTAAATACAAAAAATATTGCACCATTACCTAGCGAATTGTTTTTTAACATACAGCAGTTCATCATCAGGCAGATACTGTCATGGCTTGATGTTTGAGTCATTATACTTATGAGATTTAATTTTTAATGATGCAAAAATTATGCATGGTACACAGCTCCTTTTCTTCACACCGAGAGACTGTGATCTGATTGCTACCAAACTATAATGTAAATCAGAGTTAGCCAACTTTCATATTCTCAGAGACTATTCAATTCTCCAAGCACTCGTCCTCCTGGAGCCAAAAGCCATCTGACCCCACTGTGGATGGTGAGCTTCCGTTATATAATATGCCGTCTCACCTAGCAAGAATGGCATCAGATACACAGGAGGAATGCGTATGGATGGTGTTAAGGCTGTCAACTGATGGAGCTTCCTGAAAGATCTCCTTGGGCAAGTGGCAAAATAAGCATGTGAAGGCTTGCGGGCTGCAACCTGAGTGTGAGCTCTGTAAGGAATATGTTGCTTTTCCATTGCTTTTCCATTATAAATGATGCCTGACAGAACAATAGCATGCATAGAATCTGATAAGGGTTGCAAATGCTGAGAATGTGTAAAAAATAAAGGTAAAGGACCCTTGGACGTTTAAGTCCAGTCAAAGGCGACTATGGGGTTGCGGCACTCATCTCGCTTTCAGGCCAAGGAAGCTGGCGGTTTATCCACAGACAGCTTTCCAGGTCATGTGACCAGCAGGACTAAACTGCTTCTGGCACAATGGAACAACGTGATGGAAACCAGAGCCCATGGAAATGCCATTTACCTTCCCGCCACAGAGGTACCTATTTATCTACTTGCATTGGCGTCCTTTCAAACTGCTAGGTTGGCAGGAGCTGGGACAGAGCAAGGGGAGCTCACCCTGTCACGGGGATTCGAACCGCCGACCTTCCGATCAGCAAGCCCAAGAGGCTCAGTGGTTTAGACCACAGTGCCCCCCCCACGTCCCTCTAGTTGACCACAAACAGCTCCAAGATAACAGATATACACATTTAGCAAAACTCATGGTTAAAAAATGCTCGTAAGTCTTGTGGTTGGGACCCTGACCAGAAACCTGCTTATATCTGCAACTGGGACGACTTGTGGTAAGAATATAGATACTGCTTACGTCAATAGGTGAAATGTAAGAGGGCTTTGGCCATATTTGTACAATGATTGACAGGGGGAAGTGGGCTGGTAATATTTTAATCAGGCGGACGCGGTACGCTGTACACTTTGCACACCCTTTCCTAGTGTGCAGAGGAGGAACTTTTCGGTCAGAGGCAGATCTTATAAACTGTGTTTTTCCTGATTCATGGTGTGCCTGCTTTTGTGGTCACCCATGCTTCGAAGTATGTTTTCCTTTCAATAAAGTCTTTGCTGCTGCCTGCATTTTGCTCAGAATTCATTTTAAAGGGGTCTCAGGGCTCCAAGCCTTGAGACTGGCATTTCCATTTCTCACAGGCTCACTGGCTCCAGAAGCAAGGCAAGAGAAACTTAGGCAGGGCAGCTGGAAGCAAGCTGGAAGTGGGTGGAATTCATGGATGCAGCATAGAAAAGAATGAGATGGACAGAGAAAAGAGGAGCTACAGGTAGGTAGCCGTGTTGGTCTGCCGTAGTCGAAACAAAATAAATAAAATTCCTTCCAGTAGCACCTTAGAGACCAACTAAGTTTGTTATTGGTATGAGCTTTCGTGTGCATGGAGTATTTCAAAAAGAAGAAGCTGAAGAACAAGAACATGGAGGGCCTCTCATCAGGTGCACCACTTTGGGGGGGACCTGAGCTCTTTGCCCCCCAATAATTATTTGGCCAGGGAAGAGCCCCCCAATGTTCAGGGGCAGAGGAGGCTGCGTGCGGAGTCAGGTTTCCATGGCTGACTTCTCCTCCTGCTGCTCCTGCTGGGGAAAGAGGCCCTGGCTCTTCCTGACATTGTGCCTGCAGTGTGTGGCACTCAGAGCAGTAGGCCTGCATGGCTCTCAGGGCACGTGGCACTCAGGGGGCTTGGGGCGCATGGTGTGTGCTGCAACAGGAGCTGGGGCCTCTTTCTCCGGCAGTCGCAGCAAGAGCAGGAAAAGCCAGCGCTCAGGATGCTCATCGATTGGCACGCATGTGTGACGTCACACATACGTGTGACACCAGCCCCAGCCCCGCATCTGCCTCATAAGTTGGCACATACTGTATGTCTCTCATGCAGGAGTGGGGAACATTTTTCAGCCTGGTGGGCAACCTTCCAGGTGTCATTATTCCTGGGATGCAGTAGATTATCCTAGAGGGCTCTGTGTTGGGGGAAAACAAAAGCAAGGGCCAGTCAGCTGCTTCTAAGATTCCACCAGTTTAGTGACAGTGCAGCATCATAATGATATTTGAGAGACCTCACCAGTGTGTGGCAGATATCTGAAGGCAGCCCTGTACAGTGGTATCTTGGTTCTCAAACTGAATCCATTCCAGGAGGCCGTTTGACTCCCAGAACCGTTTGAAAACTAAGGTGCGGCTTCCGATTGGCTGCAGGAGCTTCCTGCACTCAAGGGGAAGCTGTGTAGGAAATTAGGCTTCCAAAAAACCTTCGCAAACCGGAACACTCACTCCTGGGCTTGCGAAGTTCGGGAGCCAATTTGTTTGGCGAA